AGAACCTGCTTATCTTGACGGCCATCAAGGCAGATCCATCTAGAGTTATGGATTATGTCAATAGACTGGACAACTTTGACGGACCTGCAGTTGGGGAAGTAGCTGTGGAAGCCCAACTTTATGAGGAAGCTTTTGCAATTTTCAAGAAGTTCAATTTGAATGTCCAGGCTGTCAATGTCTTACTGGATAATATTCAAAGCATCGAACGAGCTGTTGAGTTTGCATTTAGGGTTGAAGAAGAGGCTGTTTGGAGTCAGGTAGCCAAGGCCCAACTAAGGGAGGGTCTTGTCAGCGATGCTATTGAGTCATTTATCCGTGCAGATGATGCCACTCAGTTTTTGGATGTTATTCGTGCTGCTGAGGATGCTAATGTCTATCATGACTTAGTGAAGTACCTTCTGATGGTGAGGCAGAAGACGAAAGAACCCAAGGTGGACGGTGAGCTCATATTTGCATATGCCAAGATTGATAGATTGGGTGAGATTGAGGAATTCATCCTTATGCCAAATGTCGCCAATCTTCAAAATGTTGGTGATCGCTTGTATGATGAAGCCTTATACGAAGCTGCCAAAATCATTTTTGCCTTTATATCTAACTGGGCCAAGTTGGCCAGCACACTTGTGAAGCTGAGACAATTCCAGGGAGCTGTTGATGCAGCTCGGAAAGCCAATAGTGCAAAGACATGGAAGGAAGTTTGCTTCGCCTGTGTTGATGCCGAGGAGTTCCGCTTGGCACAAATGTGTGGTCTCAACATCATTGTACAGGTGATTTATCAATTTCACATTCATTCTTAGACTACTTAGTCATGTTTCTATCTTCTTCTTCTTCTAGCTCTTCGGTTAGGACACTTTTGACAGGTAGAAACTAGGAGAGCTGGTAAACCGGAAATTTGCACTTGGGTTGCCTCTTTAAATGCTTTCCAGATGGACATTGAGTGTGCTTCTTGTTACTTCAGTTAACTGCATGATTCGTATCTCCCACACAATATTCACTTGACTTTGCCTATGTGAATGCTGTAGGTGGATGATTTGGAAGAAGTCAGTGAATATTACCAGAATAGAGGATACTTTAACGAGCTTATCTCTCTCATGGAGAGTGGTCTGGGTTTGGAACGTGCACATATGGGTATTTTTACCGAGTTAGGTGTCCTTTATGCAAGATACCGTCCGGAGAAGCTCATGGAGCACATTAAGCTGTTCGCCACTCGGCTCAATATTCCCAAGCTTATACGAGCTTGTGATGAGCAGCAGCACTGGCAAGAGCTCACATACTTATACATCCAATATGATGAGTTCGACAATGCAGCAACAACGATAATGAACCATTCTCCTGAAGCATGGGATCACATGCAGTTTAAAGATGTCATCGTCAAAGTTGCCAATGTTGAACTCTACTACAAGGCTGTGCACTTCTATTTGCAAGAACATCCTGATTTAATCAACGATGTTCTCAATGTGCTTGCACTTCGTGTGGATCATACACGTGTTGTTGACATTATGCGAAAGGTTTTACATGTGACTTTGAATTTGTATCTTGGCCTTGATTTTGTTTTGCCTGTTCTAACTTTGTGGGTAATGTTTGCGCACTCTCAATTTCAGGCTGGTCAACTGCGGCTTGTCAAGCCTTACATGGTTGCAGTACAGAGCAACAATGTTTCTGCTGTTAATGAAGCTCTGAACGAGATCTATGTAGAAGAGGAAGATTATGACAGATTGCGTGAATCTATTGATTTGCATGATAACTTTGATCAGATAGGCCTTGCGCAGAAGGTTATACAACATTCTTTTGCCATAGGCTTTTACTTTTGGGTATGTTTTATATATTTATCAGTACTGTTTTGAGCAGATTGAGAAACACGAGCTTCTTGAGATGAGACGTGTTGCTGCTTATATCTACAAGAAGGCTGGTAGATGGAAGCAATCAATTGCATTGTCCAAAAAAGATAACCTTTACAAAGATGCCATGGAAACAGCGTCTCAGTCTGGTGACCGTGAACTAGCAGAAGAGTTGCTTGTTTATTTCATTGAACAGGTACTTTTGTAAATAAATCCTCTGCTCTCTTAGTGAGAGTGCATTCTGCAGACAGAAATTAACTACCTAGAGATTCCTAACCTGCTGAGGTTAATTTGCCAGTTTATCTGAAACAATCTGTTAAGTTGAAATGCTTCGCTTGTATTAATTTATGGGATGTCTTCAAGTGCCGTCTTCTTTTGGAGTCTGCAGCAGAAGAATAGGAGGTTGTCATTTGTACATGTGCATTCATATACAGTTGTTTATTAGTCTAACGCTTTAGCACTGGTGGTGTGATGGCTTCGTGAATCTGAGACAGACATGGTTGAACAAGGTCTCTTTAGATAGGAAAGATGAACAGCATGTATCCAACTGAATATTCTTTGCTTTGATCTTTTCTTTTTGCATTATTGTATTTTAGTCCTGGTCTCCTCCCTTAATGTTTGGAAATGTGTGCATGTGTTTATCCGGTCCTGGTGCAATATTAATTTTTTCTCCTTGATCTGTGCAGGGAAAGAAGGAATGCTTTGCTTCGTGCCTCTTTGTCTGTTACGATTTAATCCGGGCAGACATTGTGCTTGAACTTGCCTGGATGAACAATATGATTGATTTTGCTTTCCCATATCTGCTTCAGGTGATAACTTTGTTGTACTGTTATAGTTACTCTGACAATGCATGAACAAATGTAGCTCACTATTGATATGTGAATTTATTCCTCTCGCAGTTCATCCGTGAGTACACTAGCAAAGTTGATGACCTTGTGAAGGACAAGATTGAAGCTCTCAAGGAAGTAAAGGCTAAAGAGAAGGAAGAGAAGGATGTCATTGCACAGCAGGTAATTAGTCTTCAGTCGTCGCATTCTATTGAATTAAAAAGTTCTTGGTGTGTGCCGTCTTGTGTAGTTCACTAGCTACATGTTAAAATCCTAGCGTGAGCTTTGCATATAGCAACCAGCTCTTTGTTTAACCACTCGGTTGTCACTTTTAAGACTACGATAGTTATTGCCCCAAATCCTTGTTAATTGTTTGTTACTTAGTCATATCAGCTGTCTTATGTTTTTTAGAACCAATTTTCCCAGTTTTTTATCAGCATCTATTACTAGAGAATACGACGAACAATTTATTTATTCGACTGCATTTTTTCCTTGGCAGAACATGTATGCTCAGTTGCTGCCTCTAGCTTTGCCTGCACCCCCGATACCTGGTATGGGAGGACCGGGGATGGGAGCAGGTTTTGCTCCCCCACCACCAATGGGTGGGATGGGGATGCCTCCTATGCCACCGTTTGGCATGCCGCCTATGGGAAGCTACTAAACTCATGGAAGATGGACCTTGCTATTCGTTTCTTTGATAGCTGTAGCTTCGCAAGACTTTGTGGACTCGAAGTTTTCGTTATTGCTTTGGGTGGACGGAGTTGGGGTGCTGCGCAATAACTGTCTCGAGTTTTTGTACCTTTCATAGGCTTGTGGGTAATTGTTGTAACACTCAATTGATTTCGGTTAGGAAGCGGCATTCTTTTGCTGTTGTAGAGTGTCAGGGGAAGAAGATCTGCTTGTATTCTAGTGATCTTATCGGTGTCTATTGAGGAAAACAATAGTAAGATACCTGAAGATATATAGACTGAATCCCAGTGCGAGGAGATATATGTTAGCATGTTTGTTTCTTACTTTGTCGATTCTGTTTTCATTGGAATTTGAACACGTCATCACTCGAGTCGGTTTTAGTATTTGGCCAAAAAAGGAGCTGCTTTCGGTAGATCTGAGACTTATGTTCTGATGATTGTTCAAGGACTTGAATGTGAATCAAGTATTAGAACTTGCTCTAACGTCTGAGGTTGAATGTTCAGATTACTATGTTCTTAAAGTTCCATGTGTTGCGATGATTTTGACGCTCAGCTCAACATTCTCTTTCTTTATTGTGCGCTTTGAATTAAAGGTCCATATGTTCATTTCTTGGGTTTTCTATTTGTCTATATTTGCGGTAATGATCCGGTCCGACAAGGACGGGGAGTGGTTGCTGGAGCTAGATAGCTCGAACAAGGAGCGGCTCTTGGCTGCAATGGCAAAGGGGAACAAGGAGCGGCTCTTGGCTGCGATGGCAAAGGGGAACAAGGAGCGGCTCTTGGCTGCAATGGCAAAGGGGCAAAATTGAACTGTATTGCATATTGTACCTGGATATATATATCTGAAAACTGGAATTAACTCACGGAAGCGCCTTTTGATGTAATGGATTATCGATGGGTTTGTAAATCGCACGATCAAATGTAATTATTCATCTGTTGAATTGGAACTGCGGGGAGTTAAGTAAGCTTGACAATATTAGGTGTAGACATTGCAGTTTTAATAGGTTATGTCAATTTGGAAACTAAAAATTTCAGTTTAACTGTGTGTCCATTGTTTTTTGCTATTGTACTTTCAGCATAAGGCTGAAATGATCTTATTGAGAGGGCTTAATTAAAAAAAAAAACACTAATTTTACCTTGAATGATAATTCTGGTCCGAGCTGTTTTTTTCTCGTAAAAAATCATCAACTTTCATTTAAATCCCAAATTTGGCATGAACAATTTGAAAATTTCTCATCAAGGGGGCTGGATTTGTGACTCAAATAAAAGTTGATGCCTTTTATTGAAATAAAAAAAAAATTCGGGCCATAATTATCACTCAACGTAAAGTTAGTGTTTTTTTTTGGAATTAGCCGGTTTGAGAGTGGCATATACTTCTTCTTGATTAATGCTTTTGCATTTCTTTTAATACTGGTCTGACCGAAGTTAACAAGTTCAAACCAGGTGTTTCGTTAATCTCTTCAATGTGTCGGGAGCTTCACAAGAACAAACTTTTATTGACATACAGGGAAATGGCAAGTAGACCCCTAGCTAATGTTGCCAAACTAAAATGTTGCATAAATTCTCAAGACCTCCAGCAGAAACCCCGGTTGCTTGGCTGGGGATGCACTTGTGGCTCTTACATGTCTAATTTCACACAAAGTAGACTCATTATTTTTTTAAAAACGGGCACGCGAGCGAGAAAAGCCTATACGAACTTGCCTAGGAGAGATCGGAGCCGCGGGGGATCGACGCCGACGAGGGCGGTTCAAAGCTGGGAAGGAGCACAGATGCCGAGAGGTAAGCGGGCGTGAGGTTCCGTTCGTGAGGACCCGAAGTGGAGTTGTTTTTTCAAATGAGGTCTCCGAGTGCACCTTGCGACATGAAGAGGCAAACCGGTCTGAATTAAGGGCCCGAGCTCGCCGGCCGGCGGGTCGTGCGATTATTCCAGCCGCCGGAGAAGGGACATTTTCGTCCAAAAAATTTTGGGTTGATTTTCTGTCTCTCGTTTTCGTTCCTGTATTACGTTGATTCGGCCGGCCCTCTCTGGCAACGCAAGCAGAACGAACGAAGAAATTTCTTGAATCCTCTCTTCCGCCCTCCTCGATGGCGATCGCCATCATCCTCGTCTGGACCCTGATCGTCGCGCTCCCATCGTCCCTCGCTCTCCTCTTCGCCTCGCGCGTCGTCTCCCGCCGCGCGGCCAGGAGGAGGGCCGTCGGGTTCTTCCATCCGTACACCAACGACGGCGGGGGAGGGGAGAGGGTGCTGTGGTGCGCCGTCAGGGCCGTGCAGGAGGAGCGTCCCGATCTCGACTGCGCCGTCTACACTGGCGATCAGGACGCGTCTCCCGATAGCTTGACGGCCCGTGCGATCGATCGATTTGGAGTCAAGCTGCTTCGTCCTCCTAAGGTTCAAAATTTCTTTCCATTTTCGTTGCTGAACTTATTGTCTGAGCTGCTACTATTCCTATTTTGGTCTACTTTTGTCGCACGCCAATCGAAGTTTTAGTTAGTATTACGTGCTGTGAATCAGTGAGTGGAGGATCTCAATTGATGTTTTTGATTGAGGAGCTGTGCTCTTGGTTCTTGAAATGTCTTGCCAATGTAAGCATGTGAGGTCGGAGTTGAATGTCAGATATTGCATTCGCCTTTTTCCCTTATACAGCTTTGCTAGGTCTTGTCGAGGATCGTAGACCGTAGACATAATGACTTCCCTTCGGTCTTTGAATGAAAAAAGCTTATAGCTTTACTTGAGGAATACGTCCCTAACTTACCTCATAACAAGACTAGTTCATAAATGGCGTGAAATGCATGAGGAATTTTGCGTAGGACGTCATTTGTGCGAGAGACACATCTTAAGAGTTGATGCTAGCAAATTTTAACCTTTTTTGTCACGAGGGTGTGAAGGGATTCTCCTAGCAATTTTCGAAATTGGTAAGCTCTAACAGTACGCTCTTGTTACTTATGCCCAACTCCTCAGGTTGTCCATCTGTGCAAGAGGAAGTGGGTCGAAGAAACTACTTACCCACGCTTTACTATGATCGGCCAAAGTCTTGGTTCCATGTATCTTTCGTGGGAAGCGTTATGCAAGTATACTCCGTCGTTCTATTTTGACACCAGTGGATATGCTTTCACTTATCCTGTCGCACGGATTTTTGGATGCAAAGTTATGTGCTACACTCATTACCCTACTATCAGCACGGACATGATATCTCGTGTTCGCCAGCGGACTTCTATCTATAATAACAAAGCTTCAATAGCTCAGAGGTATTGGATCTAATCTGATGGATTTTTATTTATCTGTGTGTGCTCCTGTCTAGATGTTCTATAGAACGTCTTAAACAGGACGGTTCTCCCATTGTCCCTTCGTCCATAACTCCATATCACCACCTTGTCTCCCTCAATTATGTGCACCTGCTCATCTTATCACTGGCACCATTCCTTCTAAAGTCTGACAGTCATGTAGTGGTCTATTGTGAGGTTTTGGATATCTGAATATTGGTGTAATTCATGCATACAAACATATGTGTGGTTTTGTATATTCTCTGTTGTTTTCAATTCTGACGTAACTCTCTCCTTTTGGGCAGTGTTTGGCTATCCAGATGTAAAATCATATATTACACAATTTTTAGCTGGATATACGGGTTTGTTGGGTCTTGCACACATCTTGCAATGGTTAATTCATCATGGACAAGGTCGCATATTGAGAAGCTTTGGAGAATTCCTGATCGAACTAAGCGAGTTTATCCTCCATGCGATACATCAGGACTGCAGGTTTGTTGTGCTGTTGTTGTTCTTTACCATATCTCTGGGACTTCTCTCTCTCTCTCTCTCTCTCGCACGCACGGGTGAGACTAGCATGGACACATGTATGCACACATTAACCATACACCAACACATCGACAAAGACACGCCAATGGAAAATGAGTTCTAGGGGAAAGAAGTTAGGTTGGTCTTGCTACAAATGGACAAACTGCAATTGTCACAATATGGACATCCGGCTGTTGTGCTCCCCTGCTCCTTTTCTTTCCTGCTTTTATTCTCAGCATGTCGTGTCCTCCTCTTATTGAATTGGGAAATGATGTACCCATTTTATTCAGACCACTTTTGTAACTACTTACTTGACCAGTTGACAGTTTAACTTTGCATTTTAATTTGTATGGTAGTCTATGTGTATGCTCTTATCTCTAGCTAGTTAATTCTTGTTTTTGTGTGTTCTACTTATGATCTATGTACATTTTCTATTATCAATAATCCGCTTTGGTTTATCTGCTGTTAAGTTTTCACCTTTTCAATTTACGTAACATGTTGTAGTGGATATTTCATTCCCTAGAACATTTTTGTCGAAGCAGGCGCTTCCCTTGGAAAGACCAGTTACTGCGCCAACTTTCATTTCTGTTGCCCAGTTTCGTCCAGAGAAGGTGGGAACATTTATACCAACCTCATAATGACGAGGTAGCTATCATTTGAGTGGCTCACATGGGCCTTTGCTAATGTAGTGCATATGCCTTAAGCTTGATTGTCATATCTCAGGCACATGTTCTTCAACTTGAGGCATTCGAGCTTTCTATCAGAAAATTAGAAGCAGACATGCCAAGACCTAAGCTCCAATTTGTGGGGAGTTGTCGGAATAGATCAGACGAAGATAGGTTGGAAAGTTTGAAAATCAGAGCAGTTGAACTGAAAGTGGAAAGGGATGTGGAGTTCCATAAGAACGTAATGTACAGGTCTGTGCCACTAAGACCCCAATTACACCTAACTTTTTTCATTGCTTTATTCTGGAGAATAGATTGACTTTGTCATATGGTGAGTTGTGTTTTTAGACCACAAACAACATCTGTAGGATATAACCAATATTTTGGCGGTGTCTTTACATAATGATATCTTATGAGGACTGCTATGAGCTTCTGGCTTAAGAACTTTTCATGTGGAACGGAATGTTGGTTCAAGTTCGCAGTAAGAAGCTATGATGTAAGATAAATGAAAGAAATTTGATGGATTTGATGTAATCATTGGCTCTTAGCGATAAGTAAAGTGAAGATGAGAGAGGACGGAAGTGTAAGTGGGCTTACCGGCTGAAGCCCACTCTAGCACACTAGATGGGCCAACAGCTTATAGAGCCCTCTCTCACCAATCTCTTTTGTATTTGTGAACCCAAGTTGAAAATTACTTTCGTTCTTGTGTGAATCAGTTGTTTACCATGGCTGAATTTGGATGTGTGTGCTCAACATGGAAAAAGATAAAATTGAGAGGCATACCCTAGAACTTCCTGCATTAAGTGACATTAAGAGAAATGTCCACACAACAAACGATGAGATTCTCTTGATATAACTCAATTTCTCTGTGATGGTGAGGAATATATTTTCTGATACTTGACTGATAGGCATTTTGCTAAAAAGTAGGGCTAATAACTGGTAAAAAGTTAAACGCTAAGTTTGTTGTCATCTGAATATTTCTTCTTTTGGGTTCAATTCATCATGTCCTCCATGTATGTAATTATTGATTTTGCTCATGTCTTATATGACAGTTGATAAGTATGAACTATCCACTAGACTTTGGTTTTGACAGCTTTCTTACTTGGCAGGGACTTGGTTAAACTTTTAGCAGGTGCAACTGCAGGACTGCATTCTATGACTGATGAGCATTTTGGAATCAGTGTAGTAGAGTATATGGCTGCCGGAGCCATCCCGATCGGTATACTTTTCAATCACTTTAGAACTAGAAACGAATTCCCTGGCCTGTCTTCATGCACATTGAATGTTTGCATTTTGTCCAGCTCATAAGTCTGCTGGCCCAAAAATGGACATTGTTTTAGAAGAAGATGGACAGCAAACTGGATTTCTTGCCCAAAATGTTGAGGAATATGCTGATGCCATCCTGAAAATCCTAAGGATGTCAGAATCCGAGAGAGTCAATATGGCTGCAGCCGCTAGGAAGCGTGCGTCCAGATTTTCTGAGCAAAGATTTTATGAAGACTTTAAGGCTGCAATCCGGCCAGTAATGGGTACTTCATCATCTTAAAACATGTTATCTTGTAACCGTGAGCGAGATGCCTAGTTGTAGCTTTAGTTGCAAAGAATACCTCTCGCTCGTGCTTACACTACCTTGTGGATAGTCTTGATGTACACCTTGTACTCCGGCATTTCATATTCTGTGCGCAATCAGCATGATCATAATCTCCTGTTTTATTCTGACACGTCATCTTGATAATTTATGATTAGCAAATATAGATTGCAAATTATAAGAATCTTCACTTTTGATTTTCCCATCTCACTTACACGCAAAGGTCCAACTTTTATTCCTTCGTCTTCCTCCTTAAACCCTAGGTTTCCTTTCAATCTACCCCTCTAATCTTTTCCTATTCTTTGTTCCATTTGCTTTCATGGCATCTCAATACTCTCCCGAAATTACATTGCCAACTTTGACAACTCGTAATGGGATGAGAATTCTTCAAACTGTTATTTCCGTCTATTGAATATGGCCGATGAATACTCTGAAAAACTTATTCTTGGTCCCTACTTTCGTAATCATCAACAAATTCTAACCTCACTCAGGCCATGTTTTCCTAAAAAACGAGAAGAATTGCTTCTTATTTGGAAGACTTCTATTATGGATATTTGGGCTACAGAACCTTCTTGATTTCGAGGTTTTCCTTCTTTCGAAGCAATTGTCCATAGGTGGTATGCATGTCTGAAAGGTATTTATCAGTTCGTCTTGCTTGGAAAAGAGCCGGGATTGACACTGCTTTAGAGGTTAGTATGCTGTCATACGACCTAAATCTAGAGCTTCTTCTTGTTAGTTTTGGTCTCCTTCAACCAACTGTTTCTTCTTCCCCAAATGACAATTACTCTTTTGGACATTTATGCCATAGTTGGCTTTTCTCCCAATGGTACACCGGTAGAAAATCTCTCCTTTCGACAGATGCCCCCACTACCAAAAGTTCTTCACCAACAAATCAAACTTTAGGAGAAGTAGAAGAAACAACGGTGGGTGCCATTGCTCCTCTAATCAAGAAGAAGAAATCCAACCTTTCGACTCCATTTGCTTCAACTATTATGGATGTTGTCAAGTCTATGAACATTCCTGAACCTCAAGCAGATTGAACCAATCCTGTCGACAATCATGATAGTAGAGATGACTCACTCTTGCATCTTGACCTCCGTCCATCTTTACTTTCAGGCTTATCAATAGTCTCTGCCCCCTCTCCTTTGGCAGCTTAGGGCTTGCATGATAACCATTATGTTTCTCTATTTTTCTATTTTCTGTTATCGGGAACAGGTTTGGAACAAAAATCCCTTTGGTAACGCAATTTCATTTTCTATCTTTAGAACAAATTTCTACTCTAGAAATAGGTTTGGAAGAGAAATTATAATAATTTTTTTTACTTTTCTATTTCTAGCACAGAAATGAGAAATAAAAACTCTTCTCATCGCTTGCCCTCACTACTAGCCGGCTGCCCACCCGCTGCTCCACCATCACCCCGGCCGCCTCCTATCGTAGCTGCCTAACTGTTGTCATCTGCCACCACCTACCGGCCGTCGTTTGTCGCCGTCCTTCACTGCCGGCCACCTCCTGCCGCCGTCTCCCGCCACTCGCTGGCCATCTCCCACCGTTGACCGCCGTGTCTCGCCGCCCGCCTCCCACTGCTACCCAACATCGGCCGCCGCCTGTCGTTGTCCTCCGCTTTCGGTCGTCCTCTGCCGCCGGCTGTCTCCCATCATTGTACTCCGCCTCTGACCGTCCTCCGCCGCCACCGCCCAACACTAGCCACCCCCCGCTGCCCACCCGCTCGTTCGCTTGCCCACCCACTGGCCGCCTCTCGTCACCATCCTCCGCCGCTGGCCGGCCAATCGCCCGCCGGCCGCCTCACGTAGTCGTCGTCCGCTGCTGGTCACCTCCCGCTGCTACCCAACGCTGGCCACCTCCCACCGCCACTTGCCTCCCGTCATCGGCCGCCTCTCGCCGTCCGTTGCCTCCTGCCCGCCGACCGCTTGGGAGGGGGAAATTTTGTGTCATTATCAAACGAATTTCTATTTCAAAAACAGAAATTTTGTATCGTTATCAAATGCGTATTTTAGCTAAGAAACTCATCAATGTAATAGAAATAGAAAAATCTATTTCTGAAACATAATGGTTATCATTCGCGCCCTTAACTTCCAGATAAGATTACGTGGAGGTGGAGCCAAAGAAAAAATTAAATGGCGAATGATAGGTGTAAACCAGAAATACGATTTCATCTCCAAAGCGGTAAATATGTATTTCCATCTCATTTTTTGGATTAGAAGTCTCTCTTTTAATCTAGATTTTTGTTAGCAAATGAAAAAGACAGAGAAAATTGGCAAAAATAAACTAACTAAAATACTATTATAATTCGACAAAAAATACTAGTATAAAAAGAAGATACCAATAATTATTTTGAAATTGAAATTGGTAAAAGTTGATGAAAAAATCTAATGGAAAAAGAAACACGACTACGTATCAATTAAAAGGGAAAAAGGCTCCAATAACAAAAATTGGATAATCATTATATATTTTTAAATAATCAATCAATGCAAAAAACATGATCGATCAATAACAAATATTAAAGAAAATCACCTTAAATATCATTTAATCATTTCCTTTTCCTTTTGTAATTATTTATAATATTTTTGTTAATCAATCACTTTTTACCTTAGTTAACCCTTTAGGTATACACGATGAGTAATCAATTTTTATCTTTTGAATTTTTTGCTACTTTGTGCTTTTTATTTAGGTTGTGTTTATTCTTTTTCTTAAAATATCATTTAACTCTATTAAAGTGGCTATATTTGTATAATTTTACAACATTTGATTATTTATTGTTCTTATTTATATTCATTTCTTCTGTTATTAGCAATTTTAGTTGATTGAGTTTTCTCTCATTCTCTATATTTTTATTTTCTTTAGAATAATTAGAGTAAAAAGAGTTTTTCTTCAAAAAATAAGATGAAATATACTCTTACCCCTTAAAGTCATGTGCACACATGTAGCAGAAAAAATAAATGAGGATTGGCAGCCGTAACAAATTAATGTTTAAGAGGTGTTGTTTAATAGTTGAAAACACAGGTGGAAACATGCATTGCCAGCAAAGTTCATAGGGGTTTTGTGTAATTTTCCTTAAAAAAAAACTAGAATAATAAAAAAAGAGAGATCTCTCTGCTTGCGCGGGCACACAGGCACACAACCTCACACGCACAAAATAGGATCAAGCAATCCATTCAGAGTATGGAGTCTGTCCCCACCATTGTCTTCATCTCCGCCAAGGAAGATAGATGAATTGATTGCCAAAAAGTAGAGAAAAAAAAAAGGAAATACAACTACTCAGTACAACTACTTGGTTTAGCCACGTCATCGCCATATAGGACAAAGAAAATAATAAAAAAAATCCACGGCAACACTTTCTGTTAACCAAGTTGGACGGAATTAACGGAATGACTCAATTTCACTGATTTGACAAATTCTAGGACTTGATTGCATTTTTTATAAGTTTTAGAACACAATTGCATTTTCGTGATAAGTTTAAGGGTTCACTTACCCCATATTTCTACAAGTATCCCTACTTTTCTCCAATCCAATCCAACACATAACAATACACAGGCAAATTCACGTTTGTTGCTAAAATTATTTGAGGATTGGACATACTATATCGCTAGGCATGGCATCGAAACATTCTCTTGCCTCATTTTTAGCAATCGACAATCTTAAGAGACAATCTTAAATGTTTTCTGCCGGCCCGGTGTGTCAAGTTCTGATGGGTGGAGTAATCAAATTTGTTATTCTTTCAATGGATATATTTCCTATAAAATCACGAAAAAACACTTTCTCTTTTCATCTCAATGTGGGATACTGGATCAGTGATGGGACTGAGCAAGAATGGTATATACAATGCTTGTTGGTCAGTGAACTGACTCCCCTTCTAATGCATTTGGGGAATAAGCATTCTGCATTTGCGGTGTGTCTCGATGTTTCGCCGCCGCAATTAAGATTTTGAAAGCCTAGCCTTTGTAGCGAGCAGAAAAATCCTAAAATCTACCATCCTCGACGGGGTACGAGACTCTTTGTCGTGGCGGTGACGTGGTCCCAGGGACTTGTGGGAAGCCAAATAGATAACAATTCTTTTAAATGAATTATGGAAACTTAAATTCTCAAATTTCAGAAAAGAAAGTTAAGCTGGCCCGGGTTGCTTCTTGATTTTTTTAAGGTGAGCACGTCGACTCACTGGAGTAAAAACTCATAATATTGCCGTTAGATCTTGTCACAATCATCGTCAAAATCTTTGCCTCCTGAGGCACCATTTACGCATATCCATGTCATCATTTATACAGAATGTCTTTTGCGAAGAGTTGAAGTGAATTTTGGTATTTATCTAATTGAGTGAATATAATGGGTATATTAGATATGTGTAAACACTTTTTCTTTTTTGGTCTTAAAGATATTTTTATTTATCTCATAATAAGTGCTTTTAGGCATTAGGTAAGTTATCTAAAAAGTGAAAATGACGATTTCCAAAAAAAACCTTGAAAATGGAAGAATCGCACGTTTTAATAAAGCCACTTACTTCACGCGGGTAAATTTTAAATTTCTAACGCAATTTAACGAGGCTCAACAAGTGCCCTACGAAACACTTTTTTTAACATTTTCTATGTGTGAATTTGATGATTAACTTTATATATTAGATAATTAAGTGGATGGTTACTTGATGAAAAGAATGGGAAGTTAGTTTTAACTTTTTTATATATTCTAAATATAAGGAAACTAATGATGAACTCGCACCATGCGAGCTCTCGAGCACACTCGACGGGCATGCGTGCTGCTTTTATGCTCTTTTTGTACAGTAGAAAATTGTGGATCGTTAACAATTAGCATCCGGTGACCGACGGTAACTATCCTAATGGACCGGAGATAATTACCAATCAATTCCAAACTTATCATATGATTGCTAATTCAATTCTAAACTTTTTAATTTGTCAATATAATCCTAAAACTTTGCGCAAACTTCCAATATAATCCTTTCGCGGCTAGTTATTGCCAGAGATTGCTAGCGTGGTGGCCGATTATCGCCAACCGTTTTACGCAGCATGCTGACTTGGGTAGTTTTACTCGATCCGACATCATACGTGAATCACCACACCAGCGTTTTCCAGCATTAATTAGTCGGGTGGACTGTATTTAAATTTCGCGCAAAAGTTTACAATTGTATTGGCGGAATTAGAGAGATTAGGACTGAAT